GAGGTGACAGTTTCCGAGACCAGCTTAAGCTACAGCTGACAGTTTGCTTTCTCTTCTGTGTGGAAATAAGATTGCTTTTTGACATTGTTCTTATTTAAGGTTTATGTTTGTAATGTTCTTCTCTGTTTTCAAGAGGAAAAGTCAGATAGTTCGTTAAATTTTTTAAAAGCTAGTTTTAAAGAAGGCTGTCTTACATGAGTAAAGTCAGATGGAAAGGTTCACCTCCCATCCAACCCCTTCTCCCCCCCACCCCTTTAAAAAAACCACTGGTTTTTATAGTCTAGGCTTTTATTTTGGAGTAGGGTGCAGTTGTCAGTGGTGCTAGATCACACTGCAGAAGGCCGTGGGTGGGGAGCTTGCTGATGCAAGTTACTGTGGGTAGATACAGCTTTCAGAGCACTGTTTTTATTTGTACCAAGATCCCTGACAAACATGACTACTGGGAAAGGTAGGCTCTTCTAATACATTCTGAAATTTTGCTGTTTAGGAAATAAATACAATATGTAAATATTTAAGATTTTAAATATTGTGGCTGAAACTTAGGAAAATAATTGCCATGAACATTTGCATTTAGGCAGGGAAAACTGTGAAACCTACAGATATGTTCACGTTAACCTTCGAGGACCAGAGAGGAAGTAGATACAGTAAAACCAGATTGCTGAGTTTTCCTCAGCCTCTGGGTTCCATGTACTTTTAATTTCTTTCTGCTCTTGTACTTGCGGTATGTGGAGTTACTTTACAATTGCAATACATTTGTCAGTAGGAATAAGCTGTCCTGAAAGGAATCTAGCGGCTAGAAATGCCAGGTTTTTAGCTGTGGGTAGAGGGAGACACAGGGAATTACTGCAGTGACGGGTGCTGCCTTTCTTCTTGAGAATCAGTTTATATAATTTTCCCTTCCCTTTTAAAGACTTGCATTTTAAAAACGCAAAAGTGGAACCGAAAAACTACTAAAGAAGTATTGTTTTCAAAAAACCTTGTTGAGTAGTCTTCAGTCTTCACAGGGAGGTCTTACCTATGCCTTGCCGCGTTGGAAGGACTCCCAGCGCACCAGGTTTGCGTTTGAAGGAGAGTGGGCTTGGTGTGATGGGGACACCTGCTCCGCTGTCTTGCTTTCCTCTGGGATGGTCTTCCTGGCAGGCTTTGAATTTGTTGTCTCTGAAGGATATTGCCATACCCTGCAACTGAAACAAGATGTAATAACAGAGACTCTGCCACTATACAGGTACTATGCTGAGTAAATCTGCTGTGTTTATTTTGTAGGGGATTGTGAAGGTGTGTATTTATCTCCTTACACTAAATTTGGTTCAGTTTGCAGAAAGTGGTCATATTGGAAGATACGCATTTCTGCTTGTTAGTTGTGTTTTCACACTGGGAATTTAAAGCATAGAGTGATGGTATTTCTTTTCATTTCCTCCCTCATGACATTATCCTGTATTCAGGTTAAGCTGCTGTGGGAAATCAACACCTGGCCCGGAGGGTTAAGTCACTCCTGTCTGGAGTGGCCTCTTTCAGAGCCCTTCACTTGACAATTTGACAGTGTGTTGCTTATAGCATTTGTCTTAAGTTGTATTTGTTATTATTTTTTAAACGACAGGGCAAAATAATTATGGAAGTCAACTAATGTATTAAAAGCCATGGAGAGAGCCCGTAGATCTGAATTTAAAATGAAGACTTTTTCACTTGATAATTCCTTTCAAATTGTGTCCTTGAAATGCAAGCTTAGAAGCATTGGTAACTTTTACCTTAAGTGGCTGCAAATGTAGTAGGAAACAAGGTTTAAAAGCTGATTTTTGTGGTTGTGGCATATTTGAATTTTCCTCTATGAAGCCATGATTAACAAAGACCATTAGCCGTCTGCAGAATACAATACCAACGATTCTGCCACAGTTGAGTGTAGAGTATTTTAGTATTTTCAGAGCACTTTCCTGAATGCCTTTTGTTTGTCTTTGTTTTATGATCCGCACAGCAGCCCCTGAGGAGTAGGCAGGGCAGCTTTTAAACGTGGGTACAGAAGGCTTCAGGTTTTCTCTACGTGTGCTGGTGCTGGACAGAGAGCGGGCCCGGGACCTTGTCATCTTAGTCCTTTCAGGTCTCTTAGTCCTTAAGCTTCAGCAAAACTGCTGGGATAAAGCGTGTCTTTGTTTCTGACGTTGTACCATTTTCAGTCGCTGCCTTGGTCAGTCGCTGCCTTGGGGAATAATTAAGAAATGAAAGCATTCAAAGAGATATTATTAAACAGGCACTAGTACTCTATAACGAAGTGTGGTTTTCCTAATCAGTTGTTTGCCAGTTGATAGGGGCTCCCAGGGAGGCAGTCTGGGAGAGGAAATTGTATTATAAACCTAACGAGTTTGTTTTCAAAATCCGTTTGGTGTAATGCTGCAGGGGCAGATGAACAGGGGCCTTGTGTGCTTTCTCAGAAACGGAGGTTTTTGTTGTAGGCCGTTTACTTCTGAGCTGAATTTTTAAAACAGGGTGTGTGTGTGTGTGGCGGGGGGGGGGGGGGGGGGGAAGATTGCTACAGGGTGACCAACTTTAATTTTACTAAATATAACAACAACAATAACAAAACAAAATCCCACCTATCTCTTGTTCTTTCCTAAAACAAGGACTATTAACACCAATAAAAAATAAGAAAGATGTAATTTGGAATAAAAGATAGTCCTTAAAGTAAACTAAATTTAACTCTAAGATTAATTACAAGTTTTTCCTTACAGTTCTCAGTTTGGTGCAGACTGGTGTAAATCATCCAAAAAATGTCACCAGTACTTGTAAGTGGCTTTTGTGCTTAGAGGGTGGATATAAGTGGGCAAGTGACTTCAGGGCAGTGTAGACTGGAATCCCTCACACTGCGGCTGCAGGAGTGGTGTGTGACCTGCGCTGATAGCTTGTCTCTCAGCTTTGATTTTCTCCCACACAAGTTGGGGATAGTAATTCCTGCACCACTGTGAGGGGTAAATGAGAGGGTGCATGTAGCTAGCCTGGCATAAGACCTGGCCCATAAATACAGGACACCATTCACTGTGGCACCTTTACATGGTCTAATGGGAGGTGAAAAGTTGGGCTGGGTGTTTAAAGTGATATAATTGATGTTTTTGTTTAGATATGGAAAGCTCTCTAAAGAAAAACAAAAGCAGAATCATGTGTGTAATAAGCCCAGATCCGGGTTTCCGACAGCAACAGGACTTCATGGGGAAATGACTGATTTTAGGGCTGGAGCAGGGAACATACCCAGTGAGCCTGGTACATCTTGATGCCAGAAAGTAAGGACCTGCTCAAGCAAGACAGAACAAAAAGCAGTCATGGGGGTGTCCAAGGGACACAGGCCTCAACTGAAAGATTCTCAGCGGTCAAAGCCAGAACAAGTTGATCAATAAAACAAAGTAGTATTGGCTTATTACCCAAAGTATAAACTCGGTAGTGGTGAGTCCATACCAGTAAGCAAGGGAGAAAAGACAACTCTCCCATGGGGAGTTACTCCCGGTCAGCTATAGAGAGTTAGAAACATCGATGAGAGAGAAACATCGATCAGCTGCCTCTTGCACACCCCCTACTGGAGATGTGCCTGCAACCAAGGTACATGCCCTTGACCAGAATCGAACCCGGGACCTTTCAGTCCCCAGGCCAACGCTCTATCCACTGAGCCAAACCGGTCAGGGCAAGTGGCATTTTATCTTGTAGTTTTCCGTCCCCAAACCCATAAACTCGATCTAACCATGAAGGAAAAATCAGGTAAATATTTGCAGATTGAAGGATATCTGTGAACGCTCCTACCAGTACTCCTGGAAGCTGTCAAGGAAGTCTGAGAACTCACAACCTGGAGGAGCCTAGGGAGGTGTGATGACTGCGTGTCGCTTGGTATCCTTAGTGGGATCTGGAACAGATAAAGGACAGTAGGAGAAAAGGAAGGAACTCTGAATAAACGATGGATTTTAGTTAATAACGTATCAAGAGTGCACTGCTAATATTAGATGTTAATAGTAGGGAGACTGTGTGTGGGGTAAATGGGAACTCTGTGCTGTCTTCACAACTGTCTGTCACTCGAGCACTGTTCCAAAATAGAAAATTAAAAACAAAAATCTGGAAACTAGTAGTGGAGTGGGAGAGAAGCCTTTTATTCTCATTTTATTTTCTTGTAATATTTGAGCTATTTAATTATGTTTATACATGCATTAATTTTGTTCTCTGAGAAAGGTTCCGTAGTGGGATTATATGCTTTTATTTTTATGTGTTTTTTTAATTTAAATTCTTTATTGTTGAAAGTATTACATATGTCTCCTTTTCCCCCCATTGACCTCTCTCCGGCCACCCCCGCCCTCCCAGCACATGCCCTCACCCCCCTACTGTCTGTGTCCATTGCTTATGCTTATAGGCATACATACAAGTCCTTTGGTTGATCTCTTATCCGCCACCCCCTTTCCTCTGAGGTTTGACAGTCTGTTCAATGCTTTTTTAAAAAAAGTATATTTTTATTGATTTCAGAGAGGAAGGGAGAGGGAGAGAGAGATAGAAACATCAGTGATGAGAGAGAATCAATTGACTGCCTCCTGCACGTCCCACACTGGGGATCGAGCCCACAACTTGGGCATGTGCCCTGACTGGGAATCCAGCCGTGACCTCCTGGTTCATAGGTCAACACTCAACCCCTGAGCCGTGCCGGCAGGGTATGCCAGCTATTATCTAAAACTGCATGACCGAATGGTCAGAAACATGCTAAAATGTTTCTAGGTGGTGGCCTTACAAGAGATTGCTTTCTTCTTTGTGTGTTTTCTATTTTCAAAATGGGCGGAGAGGGTCCCAGATTAGTGAGAGTTAACTGGATGGTGTGGCTGCATTCTGGACTTACCTGAGGCCTGGACAGACCCTGGACAGGCACTCAGATTCCAAAAGAGGAGGCAAGCTATTCACCTCTAAGGCTAGATGTTTGAAGTTCAGGTAAAAAAGTTCTTAAAAAACACAACAAAAAAACCCCAGTGATTTCTGTGCTTATTCTTCAGATAAAAATTTTGATGATGAAGATTCTGTGGATGGTAACAGACCTTCCTCTGCCAGTTCCACATCATCCAAAGCGCCAGCAAGCTCACGGAGAAACGCTGGAATGGGGACCCGGCGGTTTGGATCGTCCACTCTCGGGTCTAAGTCTTCAGGTAATTCCAGCCCTGGGCGGCGTTGTGGGGTCAGCTGTGCAAGCTTTTGAAACCAGACATGCGTGGTACTTGCCTCTGGGTCCTTCAGAAGTGAAGCAGTCTCGCTTGCAATATGTTTCTGCTGCCGTTCTTTAACTTCTGTGCTGTCGGTGGTGAGGAGTTGGAGGGATGTCAATTTGAGATGCTGTGTTGCCACCTTTTGGTAAGCAGAGCCTGTAGGACAGTGATTCTCAACCTTCCTAATGCCACGACCCTTTAATACAGTTCCTCATGTTGTGGTGACCCCCAACCATAAAATTATTTTCGTTGCTACTTCATAACTGTAATTTTGCTACTGTTATGAATCGTAATGTAAATATCTGATATGCAGGATGTATTTTCATTGTTACAAATTGAACATAATTAAAGCATAGTGATTAATCACAAAAACAATATGTAATTATATATGTGTTTTCTAGTGGTCGTAGGCGACCCCTGTGAAAGGGGTCGCAACCCACAGGTTGAGAACCGCTGCTGTAGGAGAATGAAGCCCACACCCCAGGAAGCGGAGCTAAGAGATAGAGGAAGAGCATTTGTTGATTGTTGGGATCTAGCGGTATCTGAAATGGGGCCTTTTTAGCCAGTTTTTATTTATCAAGACAGACTATCCGGAAGTCAGATGGTATCTTCTGTCTTTAAAATGTATTTTGTTTCTCCAGGTAGCATTATTCCTTGTGAGCTTAGTATAGATATTAAATTAAGTAAATAGGAGGGATTAGTTCCTTGAGGCTTGAAAATTGATTTACAAAGATTTCCTCCCTAAATTCCTCCTCCCACCCCCGAATTTGGACAGTTTGAGTCCTTATTATCTACTTTCATTTTGATGTCACATGTGCATTTACATGCAAATTTCCTACTTTTTACTTCTAAAATATTATGTGGCCACTGGTTTTAGACCGTGCTCCTATTAGCATTGGGCTTTTGAGCTTGCTGATGTGCTGAGTTAAAGCTGGAGCCGGGTTAGCACCCACATGCCGCGTCCTGCCGGTCTTGGCTGCTCTCCCAACTGGCCCTGGAGTGCTGGAGTCTGTACCGGAGCGGCGCGCTGCACTGCAGGGCCTCTGCCGGCAGCTCTGTCTGCTTGGAGAGCGTGAACCTCTAACTTTTTTAGGGGAGTGCATGTAAAAATTTTTATTTTTGTTATTGAGCTTAAATTCACATAGCATAAAATTAACCATTTTAAAGGTCACAATTCATTGGCATTTAGTATATTCACAGTATTGTGCACCTACCACTTCTAGTTCCAACACAGTTTCCTCACCCCAAAAGAAAGCCCCACACTCTTTATCCATTGCTCCCCTTCCTCCTCAGCCCCTGGCCACCACAGTCTGCATTTTGTTCCTGAGACTTTACCTATGCTGGCTCTTTGGAGAATGAGATCTTTGCTCTGGCTTCTTTCACTGAGCATGTTTTTGAGGTTCTTCTACGTTGTAGCATGTATCAGTACTTCATTCCTCTTGTGGCCAAACAGCCTTCCTACTCCTTTTTCTTGATCTATTCTTGAGTGGTGTCAATTCTACAAATAAGGTTTCAGAAATTTCTGCATGATCAGACCACTTCATTTCCTTCCCACCCTTCACCCAGACGTTCCTTCCAAAAGTCTCAGCTGTGTAAACTAGCAGAGACACCAGCCCTGTCTCCCCTTTGGCCCTGACCTCATCTCTTCCCCATTTTGCTTAGCACCATGGTCATGAAGTTCCTTGTTGGCTCCTTCTTGTCAGATTCCTTAGGTGTTGGAGTCCTCTTCCCTTCGTGGGTACGTGGGGCAGGCCTTACGCAGAGGAGGCACTCAGGACCTGTCTGCTCAGTGGGATCCAGTCCTAGTGCTAGAACAGGCACAGAGCATCCCAGCTCAGTGCGTGACTGTCACCTGTCCATGGTTGGCCTGTAAATGCAGTGTGAGTGATTGTTCATCGGGGGTTGGCATGCATGTACTGCTGCCAGGAGTTGTCCATAAAGCCCTTTTCTGTGCGGGTTCCAGCAGGACACCAAACACCAGAGAAGCACTCACAGGGACCAATGTGAATCGATGAGGGTTACAAGGATGACTGCAGACACCAGTTTTGAAATCTTTAGTATGAAAAACAACAACTGTAAGATGTCATAAGATTTTATGTGTGGCGTTCCTAATAGCAAAAAGAAAAAACGTGCTCCTAAATGACAGCAATTAACTTTTAAGTATACAAAGCATCTTACAACAATTTTATAGGGGGAACTTGCTACTGATGTATAAATGAAAAATTGACAATTATCATGAGTTCAAAGGAAATGAAAATGTTTTAAGGCTAATATAAAGTTGAAATGAAACTGTTAAATGCATTAGAACTTATTTTAATTGGTTGTGCATTGACGCATGAACCAGAAGGTCACGGTTTGATTCCCAATCAGGGCACATGCCAGGTTGCAGGCTCGATCCCCAATAGAGTATGTGCAGGAGGCAGCCGATCAATGATTCTCATTATTGATGTTTCTATCTCTCTCTCTTCCTTCCCCTCTAAAATCAATAAAAACACATTTAAAAAAATCAGTAAAATATTGTGGAATCACAACACTTTATATTTTTATTAAGCTTTAAAGAAATGATTACAAATCTACCAAAATATAACTTTTATTGTATTTATTCAGATTCTTCCAATGCACTTAATTTACATTTTAAAATAAATTTTTTATAGCTCCAAAAGAAGGAGCTGGCGCTGTTGATGAAGAGGATTTTATTAAAGCCTTTGACGACGTACCTGCAGTGCAGGTGAGTGAGGATGTTTGAGTTTGATTAAAAGCAAGGAGAGGCTTACTCTTCAAATTTCACTTTTCAAATATGTGGTACGGGAAGTTCCTTACTTGGTAAGTAATTTTAAGTATCGAGACTACAGGAGATCTGAGGTTGCAGACTAGAAAGTGTTGGAGCCTTTTATAGCTGAAATGAGCAAAAGTCAAGGCCCAGGATGATCTTTGAGTAAGAACTAGAAAGAAGTTGCTTCCTCTAGTAACAAGTTGGTGGGTCAGGGCATATAAAAGAGCGGGGAGGGAAGTGATTAGATTATACAAAGGAACAAAGAAGCATGCTTATTTAGGGATTTTTCTTAGAAAAATTTGTCAATTTGAAGGGTTTTGGTGTCTGAGAAGCTATGAAGAATGGTTTGATAAAAGCTTATTTATGCCATCTTGATGCTTCACTTAAGTACCTAACAGATGAAGCAAAGGTATTGATAAAAGTTGAGGTAAAGTCATACATTTTAACTGCTTTGAATGTCACAGTGTTTTTTATCAATGACTGTAGGTAGCAATACTTTTCTTAGCCTACATTGACTATCCAATGCTCTGGATTCCTGTAGCATTTTATGTCTATACTAGAGGCCCGGTGCATGGATTTGTGCACTGGTGGGGCCCCTCAGCCTAGCCTGCGCCTTCTCACAATCCGGGACACTTCGGAGGATATTGGACTGCCGGTTTTGGCCCAATCCCCGCAGGCCAGGCCAGGCTGAATAGGGCAGAAGCCGGCAGTCCGACATCCCCCGAGGGATGTAGTAGTGTGCAAAGCAGCAGGCAGCGCGGGAGGAGCCCGAGCCTGGGCGGGCGCCACGCCACTCCCACTCATCCTTGCCCCGCTGCGCCACTGCTGCTCGGGTAGCACTGCTGTGGAGGCGGGAGAAGTTTGTGCCGCTGCAGCTGCGCTAGTCAGCCACGAGCCTGGCATCTGGCACCTATCGGTCAGCTGGGTGGCGCTCCCGCTGTGAGAAGGCACTGACCATCAGGGGGCAGCTCCTGTGTTGAGCGTCTGCCCCCTGGTGGTCAGTGCACATCATAGCGACTGATCGACCAATTCTGTCGTTGATCGCTTAGGCTTTTATATATATAGATGAATTGCTTGTTAACTACTGTTTAGTTTCCAAATGTGTGTAAATAAGATAACAGGCATCTTAGGCTAAGTTTCATCCTTAAGTCCTTGACCTTCCCAGCATGTCTCATTCCTGGTTGATGATTCTCCTACCTGTCTTATCAGATGTGGGAGTAAATGAAAAAGTAGATTTGAAAGTGATGGATGTGAAATGGATTGTGTAATGCACTGTTATATGTGCTACTAGGAATCCTAAAGGACTTGTGCACCACTGACCGTTCCCAGCAGGTCTTGTTCTTTTAAATGGCAAGCCATCTGTTAAGTTTACCATAAAGCTGTATTTGAGCCTGGGTTACCCATATATGGGCACCAGATCTAGTGGGTACATACTCACAAGGGGATGAAGCTCATTCTAGGACAAATCTGTCCAGATGTTATCTCATAGGCTCTTCTGGAAAATGAAATGATTTATTTTACTAAATGCTCTTGACTTCATGTAATTAAGAAATAATCTTTTTTATTCTTTACATTATCTTATGCTTATTGTAAATTAATTTTGCTTACAGATTTATTCCAGCCGAGACCTCGAGGAATCCATAAACAAGATTAGGGAAATATTATCTGATGACAAGCATGATTGGGAGCAAAGAGTAAATGCTGTAAGCCAGTGATTTTATGTGATTACATTTTCACTAGATTTATTTATATCTTCTAAACTCCTTACTATGAAATTGGGATACAGCTCTAATGAATTTTAAGGAGTAAATATTTTAAATAAAAATTACTGCATTAAAATTTTACCTTTTAGTAGAGTACCTCACATCTCTTTTTAAAGCATGCAAACTTACACCTTTATGCAGATCCTATATTTTTAACAAAGACCTAATTGTGGAATGTCTGGTGATGCCCTCCACTTTCACCTGGTAAAGACAGCGAAGCTGCTTTTTAGTGGCATTTAGTGTGATCTCTTCCTTTCTTCACATTGCATGCTAGAAAGTCCTGTTTGTCTGTTTTTAAAAGTAGATTAATGAAAGCAAGTAGCTGAACATTAAAGGGACGGTGCGTCTGATCTGAGAAAGCTATTTTTACAGAGGTTGGCTGGCAAAAAGAGGGGTGGTAAGAAAGCTATTGTATTCCCTTTCAAATTCACACCAGCTTTTAGTAATGATACAGTGGAGGATACTAAAAGAGACTCTAGGATTGCTACTTCCTTTGATTTATTAAATAAATGGCAGTTGAAGTGGGTGTGGGGGAAGGTAAGCTTAGGAGGGAAGAGCCTTTTACAAGCTAAAATGCAGGCTCTGGTGATTTTATCATTAGGATAGAATGTATACACTAAGGTGTTTTCAATTTAAAATGCATTTTACAGAATTGTATTTATCATAGATACTACATTTTAAAAATTATTTGTTCTTATTTTTGCTATGTAGATTTGTTCAATATATTAGCTAACATTTAATTGGCTGAGTTCTTTTTGGAAAACTATTTCTATATCATTTAACTTTGACATTGATCTCTCATATTTGATGGCTTCTGTTATTCCGTATGTTCTGTTTTAGGAACAGTTTTATATATCTCCTAATTTTCTCTATCCCATTAGCTAAAAAAGATTAGATCTTTACTTTTGGCTGGTGCTGCTGAATATGATAACTTCTTTCAACATTTGAGACTTTTGGATGGAGCCTTTAAACTATCTGCTAAGGATCTGCGGTCTCAGGTAGTGCGGGAGGCTTGTATCACGTTGGGGTAAGGACTGCAAAGCTCCAGATTCTCACGTCATAACATCCTAGGCACAGGCTTCGGGGCGGTTCATGGCTCTGTCCGATGGGTCTTTCTAATGTTACTCCCGTCTAGTCTCCAAGACCCATTCCAGTTACACTGCTGCTAATACTTTTACAGTACTTCTCGACCAATTATGTAAAGTATGACAGACTTTAAACTTTATTCCGTGACTTAGCTCTGAAGCAGTTGTTACTAATAATACTGAAAAATGAAATTTATAAACTTGTTTCTCAGCTTTTTCATTGATTTTGCTGACAGGATATAGCATGCTTATCAGAATTTTTTATTGTTTCTAGAAGAGTACTCTAGCTATAAAATTAAAGACATGCAGTGTAGTCTAGTAAATGTTTATCCTACTTAAACTGAATCTGGACCAATGTTTGGAGCTGCAATTTCTGTGTTAGGAAGTATGTCAGAATATCAGAGGAGCAGTGACATCAGATGGCATTGCGGCTGTTTAAAAGCTTTGGCTGCAGTCAGATGTTGAAGCATGAATATTTTATGTTGAAAATAAAAAGGGTGAAAGAGAAAGAGTGAGGCAGCTTTTTCCTGTTTATGTTTTATTAGTGTATGATAAATTTGTCTTTTGCTGTTTGAATTCTAATTTGTTGGAAATGATTTACTTTTTTAAAAAAGGAACAATGGGCTACTAGCTATTTGCCAAGTCCTCTACATGTACATTGGAAAGATTTGAGACCCTTGTCCTTAATTTCTAGATAACTTTAAATGAAGGTTCTAAAATGTTAAGAGTTTTATATGCTTCTCTGTTTGCAAGAAATAGAACTACAGTCCAGTATTCATTTCTTATTTTAGGCATCTGTCATCAGTTCTGGGGAATAAGTTTGACCATGGAGCTGAAGCCATTATGCCAACTATCTTTAATTTAATTCCAAACAGTGCCAAAATTATGGCCACTTCTGGTGTTGTAGCTGTTAGGTTAATCATTCGGGTAAGTATTGGCCTTTTCCCCCACTTAATTATAGCACATGAGCCTTTCACATTCCATCACGTGAATTATGGATGCGGTGTATAGTTACTGAGGTGTTGATCATGGACTCATCATTGCTTGTAAATATTGGAGCATCCCCATCTGCTTCTGAGTTTCTACTGTTATTTACATCTCCACATTACGCTCCCTTTCTTTCCTTCCTAATGCCTGGTCATTCCACTCTATATATTTGTGTTTGTGGTTTTGTTACTCACCTGTAATTGTTTTTTACTTAATAGTAGGTAGCAGAGAAACAAAATGTTCTCTTTAGTTCAGCTTTCTAAACATTCATTTACATTTAAGTAATTATTTAAGTAATTTATATACAGGTTTTCAGTAAAATTCAGTTGTTCACAACGGCTTAAAATGAAAGTTCTCCATATCACTGCTCCCCACTCTCAAGTCCCTTTTCCCAGAGGCAGCCCTTGCCGCCGAGGCTTGAGGTTAACCAAAGTCTACCCAGAATATTCTGATTATTGTGGGTTACTTACTTTGTATTACTTTTAGTTCTTACTATTTGCACTGCCTGCTTAATATTAAATTGAAAGCCATTATTGGGTATTTCCATTAAAACAATATCAAAATAAATTGGTCTCATGGCCCCATTTGAACTCACTCGGACCTCTGTTGCTCAGACAATTTAGATTTTATTCCAACTAGTTGTTTTAATTTTAGACTTATTTACATCTCATGTCGGTTTTAGCTCTGTAAATGTTGTTATGGCCTTTGGCAATCTCAGTGATACTCTTTTGTCCTTTTTAAATCAGTGAAATTGTAATCTGAATACATATGTACTTTAGGTAGGTTAGTAAGGAAGTGGTTGTCCTAGTTTTGTTTTTATATTTTCAAGTGTTCGTTTTTTTGTTCTTCTGCACAGCACACACACATCCCTAGGCTAATACCTGTGATAACAAGCAACTGTACCTCCAAGTCTGTTGCAGTTAGAAGGTAAAATTTTAAACAGTTTCTTATTATTTTTGCATTGTTTAAAAACCAAAACGAATTTCAGTAGGAAAAAGTTTGTTTGAAATGTTTAATAGTATTTAAGATTGCTGCAATAAATAACTTTATATTAAGAATTATGATCTAAATAGCCGGGAAAGTAAATTTGGACAACCTTGATTATTTGTGCGTGCATCATTCAAGAGAGAGAATGAATGAATGAATGAATGAATGAATGAGTGTGTGTGTGTGTGTGTGTGTGTTCTTATGTGAGTTAATTGGGGTTTGGGTGGGAGGAGGGGAAAGGATCCTGTGTACATCTTTTCTGATACTGAGGTGTTGATCATGGACTCATCATTGCTTGTAATTATTGGAGCATCCCCATCTGCTTAACTGAGATACTCTCTCTACCTATGTCATTGGTGTCCCCTTTGAAGGAAGACAGTAACTGTGTATGTGCAAGAAAAAAATGAATGGAAGTTGTTTAATAGTAATAGGTAGGAGGAGGTGTGTGTGTTTGCATCTTCTGATAGTGATTTCTGGGATTCTGGATTCTGACCAATCACCTGCTTCTGCACAGTTATGGGAGATACATGCAGAAGATACAGACCTGCGTGGCTAGGTCTTTGTTCCTAACCCCGTTTTGTCTTGGGTCCTGGTGAGCCCAGATCACATGTGAGGAATACAGGCTCTCTCGCTGGGATTTGTGATTCTTGACTCTTGAGTCACAGGGTCTTTGAGAGTCTATTCAGATCTGCAGGCACTCTTACCAGGCAAACGTAAATACACAGGGTGGTTTGTGCAGGTTTTGTGAAGCCTCTCCAGGGACTGTGTCAGGAGCTTTATAGTGTACATAACAGGCAGCAGCCTCCTGGCTCCATCCTGCAGGGCGGTGTCTTGATTCTAGCCCAGCCGTGGGCAAACTACGGCCTGCGGGCCGGATTCGGCCCGTTTGAAATGAATAAAACTAAAAAAAAAAAGACCGTACCCTTTTATGTAATGATGTTTACTTTGAATTTATATTAGTTCACACAAACACTCCATCCATGCTTTTGTTCCGGCCCTCCGGTCCAGTTTAAGAACCCATTGTGGCCCTCGAGTCAAAAAGTTTGCCCACCCCTGTTCTAGCCAGTGAAAGAGCCCTCCCCCCACAGGCTTCCACCCAGTCACGTTAGCTGCCTGCTGTTCCCGCCTTCCCTGGGGTGTCATGTTGGTCCTGCCAGGTCTCCATGGATAGGGGATCCTTTTAAGCATGAGGTGGCCCCATATCCATCTTACGGGCACATGGCAGCCATGCAGAAGGAAAGGGCAATCATCCAACTGTATGAATCAAGAAAGAAATGTGCTCCTCCCACTGAAAAAGCTTAATTTTGAGCTGCAAGGCCAAATTGCATAGAGCTGAGGAAGCAGCCTGCCCTGGACCCACTCAGCTCTCCCTGGGATCAGCGCAGAGCGGCTTCGCCTCTCCTAGAGCTCAGCGTGCGAGGCAGCAGGGACGGGGCTGCCAGTGGGTCCCGAGGAGGCAGGCTTGGGGAGGAGCATTGCCTTGTCCCACGTACTGACTATTTGGCCTGTTAGGAATGAGAGGACCCTGTGCAGAGTTGTTCTGCGGGGCCACAGTCACGTAGGTGAAAGGGTTCGGCACTTAGTAAAAGCTTAATGGATGGTAACCCGTGTTAGAATTTGCTGCTGCTGCTGCTATTGTCTTACTGTTGTTGTAGGTTTCCTAGAGAAGTGCAGAGGTGTTTTCCTTTGTGTAAGGCAGAGTTGCTGCAGTGAGCTGACACCCATCTTTGTGGTGGACATTGCAGGGTGTTTGGTGCAGTAGCCGGCGTGGGCTGCCCTAAAAGACCGTGCACTGGGTGACTGACCGCAGAGATGTACTCAGTTCTGGAGCCGGCGGGCTGCGGGCAGGGTGCCTGATGGGTGGTTCCAAGGAGGGTAGCTTGCAGATGGCAGCCTTCTCTCTGTGTCTTCACATGACAGAGGGAAAGAGAGCAAGCTACCTGGTGTTTCTTCTTAGAAGGATACCAATCCATCCCGAGAGCCTCACTGCACTACCTCCCGAAGGCTCCATCTCCAAATACCATGTACCGGGGATTAGGGCCTCAGTGTATGCATGTTGGGTTAGCACAACTCATTCCGGAGCAGTTAGCAGTTCTGGCCTCTGCTGTGAAATGTGAGTAGCAAACTACAAGCCTTTGACAGTAGGAATTCCCCCCCCCCGCCCCCCATCGATTTCTGAGCCACTCCCAGATTGCTGTTCTGTATTCAGTCAGAGCGAGTACCGTCAGAATCATGTGTCTTAGTGCTGAAGGAATGGGGACCACCTGGCTGTCGCTCTGCCTGTAGAAAGGTATAGAGGGCCCGAGGGGGCAGTGTAACCTGTACCTACCTTCGCTCTCTAGAATTGCTAAGAAATGCATTGCACCACTTCCCTGCCTTCAGAAGTTTATCATTAGTTAGAGATATTAAAACCAGTAACACAAAGCAGTGTAAGAGTGAGTTACAGCATTCAGGGAGAGCAGTGATCAAAACCAGCAGATAACATGCTCAAGAAGCTTCATAGAAAGTGGAAACTTGAGCTGCCTGCTTGAATGATGAGTAGGTGAAGAAGAGACAAGTTCTAACCTGATGTGTTTAATTGGTGATGTGGTTAAATAATGCCAACATGGATAGACTTCTGTGTTTGCTGTAAGTCTAAAAAGTTGAAAACAAAACCTAATTACAGGTGTATTTTTAATTAATACTTAAGACAAGAATTAGTACTAAAGATGGCTGTTTGCATTAAGAGATAAATCCAGTGTGTTTCCTTGGAGAAAGTTTGCTTTGCAAACCCCCAAACTCCCCATGTTACCACCCCTAGGATTGGGGTGAATATCTCTCCTGTGTGCTTTAGAGCCCCTGGTGCTCTAGACACACGGTAACCCTTTTTGTCTGTCGAGCTCCCTGGATTGTGTCTTAGTTACCATCGTATCTCTAGCATCTAGCAGAGGGTAAGGGCTTGTTAAAGATTTACTGAGTGGCTAATTGTATGGATTATGAGGTTTTGAATTAGGAAGATCATGGGAAGGAAAGTCGGGTCATTCGAGAAAGATCACCTTCTGACCTGTTTCCTTGAATGGGTTCCTAAAACCATTAAGATTTCTTCCCACAGAGATGGCTACCCTGGCCTTCACCCAAAGTGGTGATGTCATCCAAAGGAGAGGAGACAGGAATGTTTCAGTGCACAAATCAGACTAAGAAATATCACAGAAGTGAAAAGGCTGAAAGAGAAAGGCTATTGAAAGATTGAGGAGAGGAAAATGGCTGAGTAGCTAGAAAAAAAAGGATTTTAAGCACTACCTAGAACCTTCTTAACAGGAAAATTTGTCAAACACTTTTTGTTTTTCAGGGTGTTTTTTACTTTTTTGTGTGCAAGGCATTCTGTGAAATTAATGCAAAGACCAGTTGCCTGATTCTGTAATATACGTTGCTCTTCTGTGCATGTTTGCGTCTGTATCCACGTATTGTTTGAGGTAGAATAAAACACTTGAGAACAATGCACCCTGTGGGTGATGTTGCTGGGGGGAACGTTTGCATCCTGTCCCTATAGCTAGCTCTGGTTTTTCTTTTGACCACCATAGATGCTTCATTTTTAAAATTTTCTTTGACTTTGTTAATTCTGATCCCATCTTTATGTTCCATTTTTTAAATCATAAAAATTAGAAGTCACTTATCAATTATAAAAAGTAGTGTTGGGTCATTTAAGAAAAAAGCTCTTATTTTCACTAACATACAAATCACTAAGTTACATATTTTTTCTTTACAATTTTCAGACGCTGTTTTGAATTTTTAGATTTACTTTTACAAGAATGGCAAACACATTCACTGGAACGGTGAGCATTCGATTTGCTGTTTTTTTCTCTGAATTGAATCTTGAGATTTAATGACTCAGTGAGTGGTCCACTTTCTATCAGCAATGAAGGAATCTAAGCATTTGTTCTCATGACTACATCTGTTATTTCTACTGCTCTGAGGCACATAATAGCCTGGAGTGAACTTCACTGACTGAAGGATTAGTGTGTCTAGAGGTGTGGGCAGATGTGCACTGTGACAGCCACACGGCCCGGCTGCCCCTTCGCTGACTGGTCCTGCAGCTGGCCTCCTGGCTAAGGTGTTCCGAGCAGCCTGGGTAGATCAGAAAGTCAGCAATTTTCTCTTTATTCAGATTGGTGTTTGGTAAGTTTCACATCATCATAACGAAAACTGGGATTATGACAATTCCTGAAGAATAGAAGCCTGCCTCAGAATTTTGAGTCATTTTTTGTTATTTCTGAGTTAAATTTGGAGAAATAAATGCTGATTTTTGTGCCACTCATTTTTAATGACATATCGTATAATTTGTGAAGACTTTCATAGCATATTAAACTTATTAGAGTGGCATTTTAATAAGTTGAGTGCTCCTGGGAGGCCCATCCATGCTGCAGTGGTCAGAGATGAAACGAAGCTGAGGTCCCTGGGGCACATTTTCACCTGGACATACTTTGCATCTAGAAGATAGTCTGACATTTTTTTTCAATACTTTCTTGGTTTTTAATCTCATAGTAGTACTAGTATATCCTCTTTATTTGGTGGCAGCTTTGGAATTTAGAGGAAAGTGGAATGAGGATTTAATGTGGGGACAAGTGAAGAGAATAGAAAAGCACGAAGAACTCAGATGTAGCCTCATGTATTCATTCACCTTCCAGCTCTGTGTTTGTCACTAAATATTGAATAAATGAAGGAGTGAGGGAAAGACTGTGAATGGGCTGGTAAAATTGGTAACTGCTCTTTGTTCTGTGAAACTATTCATTCCAGCATTTCCCTTTTTTAAAAACTTTGTTAAATGTCACTGAGACAGTTTGATGATTTCTTCTCACCTAGAGTAGAACATAACTAAAGAGAATACCTATCTATAAAATGCTTACATAATTTTATAAAATTGTTCATGATACATAGTGGAACTTGAAAAAACATTCTCTTTAAATACAGAAATGTGATGCAGATAGCTTCTTTAGTATTAAGATTATAATTGTCTTATTACAAATTTCCATAGAAACTAGTTCTAACTATGGAAAAATGGGATTTTGTTGTTTTGGTTCATAAAAGATTGAGCAAAATAAGTATGGCCTGAAAAAAATCAGCTTTAACTTAAGAAAAAAAAAATCACACCAGAGTGTACAGTTATCAGGGTGCTTGGGTGGGGGTGGGGCACTGGGACAGACCCCGGGCCCCCAGGACACTCTGATGCGGAAGCTGCGTTGTGACTGAAGTACGTCTCACACTTGTTTCCATCTGCACAGCACATACGTTATTAATTGTTGCTGCTCTCTTTTCTAAATGTCTAGGCACATATCAGTATTAGCCGAAACGATAAAGAAGGGAATACATGATGCCGACTCTGAAGCCAGGATAGAAGCCAGAAAGTAAGTGTGTATTTGTACACCACCTTTTCATAGGCTCGGGTATTCTCTGACTCCTTCAGTGAGCCCTGCTAAAGCCAGGCCAGAGTCCACAGCGACTTCTTTCCCCGCGGCCAGAGTCCACAGCGACTTCTTTCCCCGCGGCCAGAGTCCACAGCGACTTCTTTCCCCGCGGCCAGAGTCCACAGCGACTTCTTTCCCCGCGGCCAGAGTCCACAGTGACTTCTTTCCCCGCGGCCAGAGTCCACAGTGACTTCTTTCCCCGCGGTCAGTCACAGTGAGCATCAGGTGGTGGTTGGGGGTGTGCGTCACAGTTAGGGGAGGGGGTGAGCGGAGGCTCAGCGTTGTCCCAGTGATGACTTGCTGCTGCCATCACGTTTGAGGCAGTTCCGCTCCGTTCACAAGGCTATGGCCCCAGACGGTCAGTACTCCCCAGGAGTAATTTTGCACTGTGACCGTGAACACCAGAAGTTTCGTGCTAAGTCTTTCTCAGGCACAGGAGCGCATAGATGAGCACTGCCAGCTTTGCCTGTGGCGGTTTTTTCTGTGCTTTTGTGGTTGATCAGCTCTTCTCCTTGACACAGGTTAAAACCTATTCTTGCCCTAACTGGTTTGGCTCAGTAGATAGAGGGTTGGCCTGCAGACTGAAGGGTCCCGGGTTCGATTCCAGGCAAGGGCACATGCCCAGGTTGCAGGCTCGATCCCCAGTGGGGGCGTGCAGCAGGCAGCCAATCGATGATGCTCTCTCATCATTGATGTTTCTCTCTCCCTCTCCCTTCCTTTCTGAAATCAATAAAAATATATTTAAAAAAATAGCAACAACCCTATTCTTTCTTACAAGCATGGAGTATGGTTATTTTGCTTAGCTGCATTAATACGTCCTGATCACTTACTTCCTGCTCTTTGTTCTCTCAGATAAATTCTATTTCTCTGGTTTCTGAGTTTTTTGGAGGACCTAACTATGACAGTGAAGTGCTCATCACAAGCTCATCTTGGGTGGTTCCTACCAAAGTAACTGAAATAATTAATAGCTGGTAAAAACTATTAGGAAGGTATTTGTTAATGAACTACTTATGCTGTTTTTATCCTTGTATTCTTCCCCTTCCCCAATTCATTGTAGTTCTTTAGTTATCATTTTAAGTAGTTCTGAACATCTTTCCTTTTTTTTTTTGTACACATTATCTAGGGCAATTTTTAAATACTTCAAATCAATGAGTGTCAAATTACATTGATAAAAACTACCATTAGTCCTGGCAGTGTCTCTAAATGGTTAGAGCACCAGCCTGTGCATCAAATGTTTTCAGGTTCAATTCCTGGTCAAGGGCATGTACTACCTGGGTCGCAGGTTCGATCCCTCCCCCCAGTCTGTGTGCTTGCGCGAGGCAACCAGTCAAAAATGTGTCTCACATCCATGTTTTTTTTCTTCTTCTCTTTCTTTCTCTATATCTCTATCTCTCTCTATCTCTATCTATCTCTATCTTTATCTCTATCTCTATCTCTATCTCTATCTCTATCTCTATCTCTCTACCTCTCTTTCTCTCTCTCCCTTCCACGCTCCGAAAATCAATGAAAAAAAAAAATCCTCCCGTGAGGATTGACAAAACAACAAAAACTGCCATTTGTGACTCCCTCGGGTTTTAGGTGTAGTTCTCCATGTTTCAGCTCCCTCTCCCTTAAGGCTCCCCAGTGTTCTTGCAAGGGAGCCTCTTTAATTTCCATTTTGTAATGAGACTGAGATTCAGAGAAGTTCCTGCCCAGTGTCAACACGCCAGCACGTTGTGCGGTCAGCCTCCTTTGTTCATGGTGTCTTCCGCACCCAGGCTCCCGGAGCAGGGAAACAGGCGGCTGGTCCCGGGACGTGTCCTGTCGGGCACGATGCAGAGCTCAGCGAAGCTCCTGCCGCGCCCTCACGTTAGGTAACGGGAAGCTGTGTTTTCCCGAGGTGCTACTGGGGGTTCCACAGTCACTTCAGCAGAGAAGCAGAGCACTTGTACCACACGCTGGAGTCCTCCTACCAGAAGGCCCTGCAGTCCCACTTGAAGAACTCGGACAGCATCGTGTCTTTGCCGCAGTCCGATCGCTCGTCTTCTAGCTCTCAAGAGAGTCTGAAGTAAGGATTCATTCGTGTGAGATTTTATGTTTAAAATCTGCTGCATGAAAACACAAATTCTAGCTGTGTTTTTACATGTACAAGCCTGTTATAAGTCCCCCTTCAGGTGGTTCTGGTACGAGGTAAGACGCCACGGGAATGGTAAGAAATAGGTGGCCTTGGTCCTCGCCATAAGTCGATTTTAGTTACACTGATGTGATGGTTCAGTAGTAGAGTTAGTGTCTTCTGAGAGCCAGCAGTTATAACTGCAGGACAGGCTTGTAAAGGGAGGGCGTTCTGAACCTGAGGCTGAATGTCACGTCACCTTTACTCTGTGTTTCAGCGTCTGTCTCTAGGTGGGACTGCTCTCTGTGTGTTCGCAAGATAGTCCACATTGGAATGGTAAAGCTTTCTCAAACGGGGAGTTTGTAAGATTGTGGGCCAACTTGCCTGAGAAATTCTGAAGACTCCGAAATCATTCTTCATTATCATAATTTCCAGTTATTGATTGTACTTGTATTAATGCAGGTCAAGTGCATATTTGAAAATAAGCAGGTGTCTACTTTATTTCCAGTCGGCCGCTCTCTGCCAAAAGAAGTTCCACTGGAAGTAGCGCCTCTAGAGGTAAGCTGATGGGCCGGGCATTGCGGAGGCTGTGACTCACCTTGGTTAGGGCCGCATGGAAGCCGCCCCAGCCCCTGCCTCTGCCCCTGCCCCAGCCCCTACCCCTGCCTCAGCCCCAGCCCCTGCCCCTGCGCCTGCCCCTGCCTCGGCCCCAGCCCCTGCCCCAGCCCCTATCCCCTGCACCAGCCCCTGCCCCAGCCCCAGCCCCTCCCTCGGCCCAAGCCCCAGACCCTGCCTCGGCCCCAGCCCCATCCCCTATCCCCTGCACCAGCCCTTGTCCCGGCCCCAGCCCCAGCCCCAGCCCCATCCCCTATCCCTTGCATCAGCCCCTGCCTCAGCCCCAACCCCAGCCCCAGCCCCAGCCTCGGCCTCAGCTGGTTTGCATTGTGCACTCCCCAGCAGAGCTCCCCTTCTCCAGGGCCATGAGCTGTGAGGACGGCTTCTTCAGGCAGAAATTAAGCTCTGACCGTTCCTCACACATGTCCCCCCAGCATGTGGATCCTGCCACACGCAGGGGGGGTCCTCCACTCTGGTCACTGGGTCAAGGAGCAAAGACCACGGGGGCTTAGGGCGGCGGGAGTGGGAGGTGTTCCTCCAAGGGAGGGGCCGGTAGTATGAGACACTTTTGCACATGGTGAAGGAATGGCAGGAAGGCCCATTTTTTGGTTCACTTCTCAACATACAGAAAGGGGTCCATCTCTGTGGGCTTTATTGTAAGCCGGGATTCAAAAAGGACAGAGGGAATAAGGCGGGAGTTGCAGTCCCTTTCTCTTTTCCGCAGCTGGGACGGAACTGTCCTCCAGAGGACCAGGGAGAAAAGAGGTGGGCCAGTGCTTGCGTCCAGCGCTTTTTGTTTAAAAACTTGAGAGTTTTGCTGTAAAGAAAAGCAAAAATCACAATTTAAAAAAAAGTGTACAAGTCTAGTGTGGTTCTTGCTAATGTTTCTTTCGTTACCACCACAGCTTCTACCGTCAGCACCAAATCTGGGTCAACGACTGGGTCCCTCCAGCGATCCCGGAGTGACATCGATGTGAATGCAGCGGCCAGTGCCAAGTCCAAAGCCTCGGCTTCAGGCTCCGCGCCCTTCAGCTCTGCAGCGGCCTTGCCTCCGGGCTCATACGCATCCTTAGGTAACCAGCTCTCCGCCACCTTCCCCGTCTGCTCCTTGAGGTGACACTTACCTCTGCTCTGGCTCACTTAGCTAATTCCAAGAGCAGTCCCTGAGGAGCTTGCCACTGTCGCAGGGCTGATGTGTGAGATGAGTGACTGGCCCATTGCAGGTTAGCAGCTCCCTTCCGTCGAGCGTCCCCTTTCTCTGGCGCATCCTGCTTGTTAGTGACCAGCAGGTAACTGGTGCTCACGTGGTGTGTGGCACTGAGCACGGCCTGCCTTCAGCTCCCCTTCCTCAGGGTGGCGCCCATGCGCTCCCTTCCGTATCACCAAAGCTGGGTTTCCTCCCCTCCTGACTTTGGTGGGAGCAGAGCAGGCAGGGTCTAGTGAGGAATTCACCAAAGAGAGTCACTGTACTTAGATATTTTCTAATTTGAAAATGTAATTGGACTGGGAGTGGGGAAGGCTGGGGGTGGGGTGGGGGAGGGGGTGGGGGGAGGGGTGACGGTGGGAGGGTGATGGCGGGAGGGGTCCTTTGAGGCGTGGGGTGGACTTGTTAGCCAGCGTCACCATGCTGTGCAGAAGAGTGTTGTCTCCCCTGTCACTGTGGGAGGAGCGTGCACTTACTCTAATGACAGCCCAAAAGAGTAAAAAAATAATAATTCTCCAGAGAGTGAGTGTCTGACGGAGGGGCAGTGTCTCAGCGGACACAGCGCCTGCTCTCCATTGGCTGGCGGCTTCTTTAATTTTATTTTTGTGCAAGTGAAGTCGTCCAGAGCCAAAATCTGGGGGCTTAGCTGATCAGTTTGATTTTGGATTCTTTGGAAATTAATACAATTTAAACTTTTTGAAACATGGAGACTGAATTATGTGGTTTGCATATTAATTCCAAAATCAGTCCTAAAGTTAATGTCCTAAAAATGTTGTGTACATGGAAGCATAGTGAGAGAACACCAAGCGGAGATCCCGGGCCTGCCACTCATTGGTAACCTGGAGCAGCCATGGAGCCCGCGTCTTCCTGGGCCTTAAATTAGCTACAGTCATAGCCACCCAGCTCAGATATGTGACAGAAAGTCATACAGAAGAGAAAGAAACTGCAGTTATGATAGGAACATTATTAGTTTGAAAGGTAGATGCGCTCTGGAATGTTTGTTAAACCAGTCTCGTGTTCTTGACGGAAATGCCTTATACCTGGGCGGATAGATACATGGATGGATAATACGTTTAGGTTGGGAAGAAACCCACCCGGAGCGCTCCTTTCCTGCCATGAGGCCTACGTAGGAGTCTCTGTGATAGTCTGTTGACAAGCAGTCACAGCAAGAGAGAAGTCAGAACTCCCTCTCCCTCTCCTGCGGTGAAGTGAAGTCATTATGTTCAGTTCAATTCAGTGTTTGAAGTGCTTACCAGTGTTTCCAGTACATTTGTTTCATTGCTAGAAAACTTGAGTAAAAACCATTTAGAGTCCTCAGGAGCCTCTGTTTCCTGTTCACATTGGATGCTGTAACATGGACCCTATTGTAACATAGACTTCCCTCGCTGCTAGGAGAAGCACCCTGGCCTTTTGGCTGATGATGCAGGACTGACCTTGGGAAGCACTGATAACTTTTCAGCCCAGTGTTCCCTCTTCCAATGCTGAGACTGGAGTCTTCTCAGTCTCTCCCCTTTTCCTGACCCTCTCTAACTTTCCTTATGTTCAAAACGACAGCAAACACAGCCACCCTGAAATGCAACCTACCCTTCTGAGGAGTTGTTACCGTTACTCTTAGGCTGACAGTTACACCTGTGCAGAGGTGTAGCATTACAGCTGATGGTCCTTTTCCAAACTTCTAGAGTCCAGACGCATGAGGGACGATGTGGAGTCCGTAGGCCTTGATTCAGGTACCATGTGCAGCTTGGCTGCTGGCGAGTAGCTGGGTAGGCACTGCTAGAGCTAGCTTCTCCGAGCTTCCTTGCCTCTGCCCTTAGTTGACTCTTTAGTAGTTTAGTTTTTAGCCCCATGTCCTCCCCCAACCTCTTCTGCTGGTACCTTGTTCCTTGAAAAAGGAACTCTTAAGAACGTAAGGTTTGGCTGAAAGAAAATCAGCAATCACTATCACTGAGGCCTGCCCTGGGTGCCCTTTTTTGTGCTTTCCAAAGGCAAAAAGCACATGATTCTAACTAAACTGATTTCAAGATAAGCCACTTTACTTGCTTCAGACTCTGCTTCGCTGTTGAACTTGTTTCCTTTTTATTTTAATTTTAAATTGTACTTTTGCTTTTTTAGTAGCTAATAACATTCTGCTTTTTAAGTTTTTAAATGTTACTAACTGTTCCCTGTTACCCCTCCCCTGTTTTTTAATTTGCTTAAAGATGGTACTGCCACTAAAGCGGAGGGTAAGCCGTTTGTGTCTGTGACGGAGGTGTGTCTCCCTTCCACGGCCCTGTGCTCACGAATGTCTCCTCCCACCCCCGTCTCACTGAGGTCCCTGCATGCGACTGCACGCTGCCCCCTGCCCTCCTCATTGTCTCCACTGGTTTCTGCCTCACCTCTACCTGAGTTCTCCCTTCTTGTTCGGTGGTTCTCGTGAATGAGCACTTGAGTATGCTGTTCGTGGTTTCAGCTCTGAGTGCACACTGGGGAGGAGTCGGTGACATTGTGTGTCGCTGGCCCCAGCTGCCGTCTCAGAGCTTGTGACTCCTCAAGCATTTCCTCACCTTTTGTTTCCTTTTGTGTCCTTCTCTTTACTTTTGTGCTTTTGTGGGCCTTCAGGATTTGCTTTCCTGTTTTGAAAATGAATTTGTGTCAATTATTCAGGTTAAAGACGGGTAAAGGTTTTCTACCAGGTAATTTATAGAAATTGTTAAAAATGCATTTCTATCCCCCAGTGATGTGACACCATGCCATTTTTATTTGTAACACTGAGCGTACCCCAGTCATTCATATGTTTTCATTCATTCACTCCCCAGGCATGTAGTAAGTGCCTCTGCGTGCTGCGTCCTCTGCTCCACACAAGGACATAGCACGGTGGCCAGAGTGTCCAGATCCACTTGGTTTGGTTCTGTGCTGTTCTCTAGAAGGCCTCCCTGATTTCGCATTGGCCTTTGGATGTTAGACATGGCCGTCGAGTGTGTGTGGTCTTTGACTAGCACATGCTAGACAAGATCATCCTTTTACAGTCTCTAGAGAGAACGCATGATACTGTTTCACACAGTTGGAATTTAGAATGACCTCGTCTGCTTAAGATAGTGGCTTAGACACACCAACCCTCAGGATAATGGTTTAATAATTAGGGGTGCTCGTTTACTTTCATACATTATTTAGGACTCTAAAAGGCTAACCTGCAGAGCAAACTGGATTTTTGTTGATATGTGTAGTTCACGGTACTTTATTTATGAAGGGAGGGAGAGATAGAAACATCTATGATGAGAGAGAGTCACTGATTTGCTGCCTCCTCTATGCCCATATGGGATCGAGCCCGCAACTCAGGCATGTGCCCCGGCCGGGAATCGAACCCTTGTTACCTCCTGGCTCATAGGATGATGCTCAACCACTGAGCCACGTGAGCCAGGCAGTTCACAGTACTTTTAATCCATATACTACTTCCTAAGATAAACATAGTCCCAAGATCAATGTTCTTCAAACTTCTCATAAAAATTACCTAAAAGAACAGAGGTCCTGTCCTTCCCCTGAATATTCTGATAAAGTTCAAAGCAGCAGGTGAATATGAATTTTCAACAAGCCCCCCCACTGGTGATTTGTGGGGTTGGAGAAGTTTGTGAAATGAAAAGTTACCAAAAATGAAAAATGGAAAAACACCTATGTCATAACGAGAGCCTCATTTGTGATAGGAGCCTGACGCTGGGTGTAATTTTCCGGTTTTAGCTGATAGGAGTAATTATTTATTTTCCTTTCCCATAGAAACCATCTTTAATAGTTTCTCAGCCGAGGTGGAAGGACAGTGTGGAGGGTGGAACACAGTAATGCTGATGAAATGGAAAGTGAAAGACACTGTGAGGGGAATTATATTTTTTCCCCAGAATACCTTGATTGATATGCCTGTATAACACAGTTGAAATAAGTCTGTTATTTTAGCCAACACTGGGATTTTTTTTCCTTTTTAAAAAAATATATATTTTATTGATTTTTTACAAGAGAGGAAGGAAGAGAGATAGAGAGTTAGAAACATCGATCAGCTGCCTCCTTCACACTCCCTCCTGGGGATGTGCCCGCAACCAAGGTATATGCCCTTGACCGGAATTAAACCTGGGATCCTTCAGTCCACAGGTTGACACTCTATCCACTGAGCCAAACCGGTTAGGGCTTTTTTTCCTTTTTAATCAGTTTTCTTTTTACTAGTCAGAGCAAGTTCAGAAATTTGCCTGTTGATGACTGTGCTGACTGACAAGAAGTTTCTTTCTGGTCCTCATTCCAGTGGGGGAGGGAGAACATGTGGGCCCTGAATTGTACCGAGTTCAGAATCAGACAGAGAGGGCTCCTCGAGTGGAGCCCCCGAGCCTTGGTCTCCGTGTCCCAGGGCTTTCCCAGGGCTGTGTGGCTGCTACAGAGCCGACAGCAGAGCCTTGAGCCTGGGTGAGGAGGGGAGGGGCAGGGGGGCCCTGGGAGGCCTGTAGCTCAGTGTCATTCCTCTGTTGCAGCAACATGACTGGGCAGTGATGCTTAAAAAAGCCACAGACAGTTATGAGAAAAAGGCAGCAGTAAATATTACAAAGTGTCTTGTCATAAGTTTCCATGTCTGAAATTTTGGAATCATTATGGGCCTTTTAAAAAATTTATGTAAAAAAATCTGTTAAGCCCTAACCGGTTCGGCTCAGGGGATAGAGCGTCGGCCTGCGGACTGAAAGGTCCCAGGTTCGATTCCGGTCAAGGGCATGTACCTTGGTTGCAGGCACATCCCCAGTAGGAGGTGTGCAGGAGGCAGCTGACCAATGTTTCTCTATCATTGATGTTTCTACCTCTCTATCCCTCTTCCTTCCTCTCTGTAAAAAATCAATAAAATATATTTTAAAAAAATAAAAAATC